GCATCGCTACTAGGAGCAAGTGCCTTACTAGTAGTAACAAGAAGCTACTTACTTCTTCTCATGACTTCTCGTACTACTCGCTGTTTTCGTTGGAATCGAGCGGAGCGGAGCGGAGAGCGTGGCGGCGAAGCAAGCGGAGAACATGGAGCTGACCGGTGCAGGTGAAGTTCCGAGCTCCATGTCCTCTTGAGAAAAATAAGGCTCAAAGGGCATCGCTACTAGGAACAAGGACGCTACTAGGGGCTCCTGGCCTTACTACTAGGAACAAGAAGCTATTAGAACAGAATTAAAGTTAATCTAAATTAGAATTGAAGCAAGAAGCTACTGGGGGGGGTAGGCCACTAGTAGAAGTGAGGTAGTAGCTAGAGATAGCTAGTAGAAGCAAACGGTAGCTACTAGGTACTAGGAAGCTACTACATATGGACGCATGATAGCTGACGCTTCGCCAAGAAAGCTCCCCCCGCCGCCTGCTTCCTTGAATAAGCGATCGCACTAATGATTTGGTTACCTCCTGGCCTTACTACTAGGAACAAGAGGCTATTAGGAGCATGAAAGAGATCAGAGATGCCTTGTTCTCAGGAGTATTTAATGCCCTTGTAACTAGTAGCTTCTTGCTCCTAGTAGCGATGCCCTTGTTACTAGTAGTTTCTCACTCCCCTCTCTGCATCTGGTTGGAAGCTTTTTGTCAATGAGGTTTGGATCCAAAGTTGGCTCAACAAGTGGACAATTCTGTGCTCATTGAGGTATGCAAGGCAGTTGTTACAGTGCCCTGACAGGTTTCCAACGAAGTATTCCTTTTCAACATGGCTAGCTTTTCCGATCTACCCAAGCACCAAACGAGGGACCAACATGTTGGTTGAAGGTGCACGAGTAACAAGGGAAAGTGACAGAAGTGGACACATAAATGGTGTTTGTGCAGTGAAAAGACGGCGTTGATTGAACAAACACTGTAGTGATAGAAATGCTCGTGTTGCTCAAGGTAGAGCTATTTGGCCAATGCGGGATGCTCTGCCCGCTTACTGCTTCACAGCTTTGGATGTTTTTTTTTCAGCTGCTTGTGCCTCGATGATCACTGGGAAGAAGAAATCTTCAAGGTGTATGATGAATGGAAAGTAGAATGAAAAGTGAAACAACATGTCTAATTAAAGCATAATCAACAAACACATTGAACGTTATATGCCCGTTTTCATGAAGTATATCTCAAAACGCTTGT